AAGGGGTGTTGGGAAGTGGGACACTCCCCTTGGGGTTGGGCAAGACCTGTATGCACTGAACTGCAGGCAGATGGGGCTGCAACCCTGGGCACGTGGGTGCCAGCAGAGCAGCACCCATAGGTGTTCTCTGGGAAAGGGTGTGGGGCATACAAGCAACCCAGCCAACAATGGACACCAAAGGTTGGAGCTCAGGGGACAGGGCCTGGGGACAAAGGACAGAGAATGAAGCACAGAGCAGACCCTTGCACAACCCCAGCTCCTCACCTTGTGGATAAACTGCCTGATGTTCTTCTGCCTCAGGTAGTCCATCATGTCCTAGGAAAAAAAATAGGCTGTGAGACATTGCCCAGTTCAGCACACCACCATTTCCCCCCAAAAAAAGGAGGGGGCAGTGTGAGGACATAGACTTTAACCATTTCTGGGCACTTCTTTGCAGCCCTGCCATCCCAAAGAGCACAAACCCCACAGCAGAGAACCCAGCTGCCCAAGGCCCCATCACAGGGGGGGGCCCACTCTGAGAGCTCAGATGTGCCAGGGATTGGGTCATCACAATCACTGTGCCGCCACCACCAACTGTGATACTTCTGTCATTTGAGACAAAAAGTCCTGACAACCGAGGGCTCTCAGCAGGCCACCCCGCTGACAGAGGCACTGCGGTGCCTGACTCTGCAATGCCACCACCCTGCCACGGTGCCCCTCACCCGCCGCTCAGCGTCGGTCGTGCTCAGCAGCAGCGCAATGAGCAGAGCCATCGCCTTCAGCTGCAGCTGGGCATTTGTCCTGTGGGAGGAAGAGCAGGAGGATGTGAGAATCCCCAGCTCGGAGGGTGGGGGTGAACGGTGCTCTGGCCTCTCCACTTACGCCTGCAGGTGGGTGAGAAGGCGGTCCAATGTCACTTCTTTTTTGACCACCTCAAAGAGGAGGCGACTGGTAGGCACCATATTCTCCAAGATAGACAAGGAGAGCTGCTGGATAGATGCATCCACTGCATTCATGTTCACATAACTCACTATCTATGAGACACAAAACCATCTGTCTGTCAATGGTAGGCTGAGCCTGGAGCACAAGGATAACAAGGGATCCCACAGGCACAAACTGTGGGCATTGTAGAAAACTCTTACCTTTTTGATGAAGACTGTACTAAGATTTTCCCAGGAAACAAAATCATGCTCCATCAGCTCTGTGAAGGCTTTGAGGGTATGAGCCAGCATCTCCCCTGTACTGGAGGGACGGATGAACAAATACAGTGAGGATGGCTCCAGATCCCATCCGCAGCTGAATATTGGTGGGCATGTTAGAAACAGCTAGAGAAGAGAGCAGTGAGCAGGAGAAAGGAAAGAGACTGTTAGGCAAGAAAACAGACTCTCACTTAGTCATCCCAGGAAGTCAACTTGCCCAGGAAGTCAAGGCAGGAGAAGTTCAGTAATTGGAAAGCTACATCACCATGGTACAAAGATCGCTGCAGACAAGCCCTCAAGAAAGCTGAACCACCCCATATCCCTCCCTCTACTTCCAAAAAACATGTGGTGCATTGCTTGGTTCCACATTCTCTGTGTGACAGGAGCTCAGAGGAGCTGCACCATCATCACATCCTGAAAGAGTCATACAGGCAGTAGTATTTGGCAACCAGGGTTTTCTCAAGCTCCCTGCAGAACTCTTGAAGCTAAAACCTCAGGGCAGAGGGATCATTCAGGGTGGCAGGAATGAGGAGCAGCACTGGAGGCCAAGATGATCACAGTAGGTTTCCTGGTAGCAAGCCCCATGAGGCTACAGATAACTCAGCCAGAGAAGGGATGGAAGGTTCAAGTCTGGACACATTCACAAGGAGTCAGGACTGCATATCTGTGGGGACCTTCCCCTGGCTGCCAGCGTGCAGGGACACAGCCACAGTACAGGCATCAACAAGTCAGGAACGCAAAGAGTCCACTCCAACACCCAGCTTGGAGCTCATGCAGCATTAGCAAGGGAGAAGAAAAGCCAAGGACTGCAAGGAAAGTCCTGTCCTGATACTAACTCATTCCCTTCTTCCACAATAGAGTAGATTTGCTTCAAGCCATTCCTGCTGATGAACTCTTGAGCAAAGGTAACATCCTGGGAGAGGCTTGCAAGCTTTTTCAGTGAGTCAGTCTTCACATCCGCATTCTTGCTCTGGATCCCGATATACAACTGCTCTGCTTCTTGGTCCTAGCAGGAAGGAAAGAATCAACCCAAAGGGGCTCATCGAAAGACAGCGAGAAGCTTGAAGGTGGCTGTAAGAGCTGAAGTGCAAGTTTTGGAAGGAGCCTCAGGCTAGAGGAGCCCCACTAAGGAGCTGGACAAAGAAACAAAGCCACCAGAGCAGAGACCAGGTGGAGCTGAGGATAGAGGTCAAACTGGCATGCCACCAAGAACCCTTGATGAGTTGGCCTCCACGTCCAAAGCGTTTCAAGATGATTTAATTTCTCTTCAAACTCCCCCAGGCTCTGCCGAGGGAAAATGAAGGCTGAGACATGTCTCCTGCCTGTGTTTTCTGTTGGGTCTGAGGCACAGAGAAGGGCCATCATGAGCTCAAGTCACGGAGGCAGGCAGAGGGCTCGGAGCACCCCACTGCAGGGGCACGGAGCACCAGAGCACGCAGCGGAGGAGATGGGGGCCAGAGGGATGTACCGGGGAGGTGGTCAGCCGCAAAATGCTCCCGTTCTTAATGTCCCTGCGGTTCTGTAAGGAGAAAGGCAGCCGGTGAGGCGGAGCGCGCGGCAGCGGCGGGGCCGGGGCCGGGCGGTGTCTCACCGACTCGGTGATGTAGGTCTGCCGCCCGTCCGCGTACTGCAGCGCGTACCGCTCGGCGTTGGGCAGGCTCCACCTGCGGCCACGGGCGGCCGGTCACAGCCCCGTTCGGCCGTGCCGGCAGCCCCCGGGGCACCGCCGCCCGGGCACGGGCTGCCCCGGCTGGCGGCAGCGGGTACTCACGCGTCGCAGACGTCCTTGAGCACTGAGGCGAGCGGCTTGGTCTGCGGGAGGGAGGCCGGCGTGAGCCGCGGCGGGGGCGCGGGGAGGGGCGCGGGGGTGCCGGGCGGTACCTGCTGGAGCTCGATCAGCTGCGGAATGGCTCCCACCATCTGGATGGCGATCTTCACCACGTCCTTGGGCGGCGGCATGGCTCCCGCGGCGGCCCCGCACCGGCGGCAGTTCCGGGCTGTGCCGCCGCCTCCCCTCACCCAGGGCCCGGCCCCCTCACCTGAGCTGACGCGGGTGTGGCAGCACCCACCTCCGGCAGGACACGGCCTCCTGCCGGGAAAGCAACCCCATCCCCCGGGCTAGGGCACAGAGGAGGCACAGGCCGCGGCAAGGTGAGAAACTCTGGAAAGATTTTTGTTTATTCACGTCGGAGAACACTCTGTACAAATATGACAGGCAATTTTCTTTTCCTTGCAAAAAAAAAAAAAAAAGTATAAAAATAATCTTTATATATGAATCAAAAGTTCATTTTGCAACTGTAAATTTTTCTCTAGGTATCCTTTTCGGAAGGTCTAACTGGTGGTGGACGTGAACACTGGGAAGGAGGGCAAGAGCCAGGCAGTGGATGAAGAGCTCGAGCTGCACCAAAGCCACGGAGCTTTAACAGGCAGGACCAAGGGATTCCAGTCAGCTTCCATGTGGAAGGGGGAAAGGCTCAGGGACTGGCAGCACACAGGCTGGAAGTTCACCCCTCGGAGAGGTCTCACACCTCAGCTGTCCTGCCAGCAGCAGCTGCCTGCTGCCAAACCAGCGTCCCATTGCTCCTCCCGAGTTCTTCATGCTTTCCCCAAAGAGGCTGCCAGTGCTTTGTTACTGCAGAAATGAACAGTCCTTGTGGAGGAGTCCCATGCAGAATGAGGGTCTGAGGAGCCACTCCAGGGACACAGGTCCCAAGCACATGCTCTTCTCACCTCTGCAGGCTCTTCACACTTTACATCCCTTAGTGCTGGTGCTGTAGCTGGTTGTGTGGGTCACAGGCAGTGAGCAGCTACACAAAGTAATTAAACATCAGCTGTTTAAGTGGATGGCAGCAGTCAGCCATGGCCTGGCCTGGCTCTCTGTTCAGCAATTTGCGGAGCAAGAAAAGCAGGACAGATGCTTCCACTGTGGTGGCAGGAAGATGTGCAAAAAACTAAAGACACTCACAGGATCTGACCAAAATCCAAAGCTGGGGCTTGCAAAATACAATACAAATTCAATCAGGACATTTTTATGCCAAATAAACTGCACAAGGTCCCAGCCTGGTACCAGCTGATGATCCTAAAGAAGCTAACAGCAGACCTTTAGTTACAAAGCAATGAACAAAATCTTGCAGAAAAATGATGCAGAGAAAGCATTGCAGTAGGTAAAGACCTGCCACAGGATCAGGAACTGGAAGTGTGGGTATGGGCACTAAGGGAACAAATTCAAATATACAGAAAACCTGATCCTGAGAGAAAAAGGGGTAACAAAAAGCTAACTATTTTGACAACACCTACATAACCTGTCACAGCAAAATACTATTGAATTGTAACTGCTTGGTCACCTTTCAGACAGTTGCAAGTTCAAGTGCAATGGTTGGAAAAACCCAGCTATCTGCAAGCATGAGTAGGCTCTGATGTCACTGGAGTACCTTACAGGCACCAGCTGGAGCACTCTTATCCTTTGAAACATCTCTTCAGTCAGGCAAAACCAAAAATTAAAAATAAAACCATACTGGCACCTCTGCTTTAGCCCTGTAGAAACAGCACAGCTGCTGGACAAGGAGCTGGAGCCCCTTGGGTTGTGCATCAGAAGGCTGGTGAAAGCAGACCCAACATTCCTGCTGATGCACCAACAGGGAAAGGCTCAATGCTCCTGGGTCCTATAAGGAGCACTCAGCTCCTGAATCCCACTAGGAGGCACAGCTGGCTAAAAAAAGTGCTTTTTGTAAAACATACTAGCTTGGTCTGAAGTTGCTGAAAGAAATAGACACTTTGGTGCCTTTTTTTTTTTTTTTTTTTTTTTTTTTTTTTTTTTTCCTCTTGATGCCTTTTAGAAATAAAACTACCCCAATCTGAAGCACTAACACAAAGAAATCTAACTAGCTACCTCCGGGCTTGCAAACTGACCATGGTATTGGGGCTCCTTGTAGCAGCTGGTACCTAGGAGGTGCAAAGTGCCTCTGGGAGTGCAGGAAAAACCAAGGCATGCAGATTGGAGGAAGCTCAGAGAGGCACATGGGCAAATTCTGCAGGTGAACTGGGAACACTCAAAACACAGACCCTTTGAAGTGAGGCCCAGGATCCAGTGGAGAGATGCAGGGGGAAAGCTCCACATGCGTCTTGCACGTGCACCAGAGGAAGAAGCAAACTATGGGGAGGGCTCCCAGCCTGCAAGTCCACATCTCTTGGTTCTGAGTCCATTTGAGAGCATCTCTGAATTACTCGGCCATCGAGCTCTAGCACAAAAGGAATCCAAAAATAGACACTTTCCAAAGAGTTACAAAACAGTCCGTGTTTGCAGGGCTCACAGCCGCACTGAGAAGTCAGAGGTTGAGGACAGGCACATCAAAGAGGTCGCAAACACCTTCACTCTCATCCAGGTTATAGATGTAGTCGTGATCTCCAGGTGGAGGGGAGAGGCGGAGCAAGGGAGCAAACACTGGGGAAAGAGAAGCCCAGGGTTGGTTACAAAACTCAGCACTCCCACCCCAGCTGTGAGCTGCCAATGGCACTGAGCAGCGCAGCCACCTCACGGGAACAGTCTTTGAGGTTGCTTCAGTCAGCCTCCCAGAAATGAAGAGACTCTTGGCTCCCACACCTCTCTCAGGAACTGGCAGGACAGCAAGAACTGAGTCTGTGTCCAGAGCCCAGAAAAGATGAGGGTGAGTCTGCAGTTACAAGGCTGCCAGCTGGGTAAAGTCACACAGCATAGTCTTCCTCCCGGGAAGGCCACACCATGACAAGACTCACCTTCAGATGACATCAGCTCTTCCAGCAGCTCAGAGTTCACACATTCTGGGGAAGAGACAAGCATGGTAGCTAAACAGTCTGCTCTCCTGGTCTGCTCCTGAGTAGTTCCCCACTTCCCCACCCTTGTTATCCCTTCTCTGGCTAAGGCACAGCATGTGCAACAGGCAGTGAAAGGAAGCTTGTGCGTAAAAGAGATAAAACCATGTAGTAAAAGTAATTCCAGCACAAAACACTATGAGAGCATGCCAGCTTCTGTGGCTTAAATTGCACAGCCTTAAAGCAGCTGCCCGTGCCAGGGCAACATTAGTGGGATCACACAGAGGATGAGAGGCTGCATGGAGTGTGCTGCAAGGACTGTTCCTCTGAGCTCTGCAGTGCTGCTCTCTTCCAGTCCTGAGTGTTGCCTCTGTAACTGTTGACTCTGTTTTGTCCTTTGCTCCTGGATTTTTTATCTTCCCTCTCCAAACTGGGAAGAATACTCCATAAAACCACATACTTTACCACAGACAGTAAACATCTCCTTTACAACAGCACCCACACAGTGACACAGTAGAGTTACTTTGGGTAAGTTAGATCTCCTACACGGCTGGGGCTTTGCAGCAGGTTATATCTCACATTGTGAACTCAAACTTACTCTTCAGATGTACTTAGACATCATCAAGACTTCATCCACTACCTGCAGCAGAGGTGCTGGGCAAGGAGGAAGGATGTTCTCCAGAATGACTGTGGAGCCCAGGGCTAAGAGCATACGGATTGGAGACTCACATGTCTCTGTGTTTGGGTCTGTGGGGATTTTTACCCAAAGGCAGCACCTTCACAAAGCATCTGTGGGAACTAGGGACAGCTGTTGTACATCTCCTGTGGCCACCACTGAAGTGCTTGGGTGTACTTGGCCCTGCCTGGCTGTGGAGCTACAAAGTATTTGGCTGTGAAGAGAAATAAATGTACTGATAAGGTCTCCCAGTTTAGGTTTATGTCAGACCAAATTCCTCCACCTTTTCTGCTCTTAAGCCAGGGTCTGTCCCACCATTAGGCAGAAACCCACAGATATTCCTTGGGCAGAGTTAGAATTCCAAACACAAGTAACAGCATCTCCCTCCCCTACTGCTCCAAAATTACCAGCTCCTCCACCACCACCACTGAGAAGTATTTTGAAGAGAGAACACTATCTCCTCAGATTATTTGCTTGGATTAGCCTTAGGCAGCTAAAGCTGAAACAAGACTTAGCAGGGATTTTTCTTTCCCATACTGCTGACAAGCTGAAGGAGGAGCATGGAAAGGCTGAACATGGATTAGTGTCGGCATGGGGACAGGAAAGCCCTTGCTGCTGCACTGCAGGCAAGATCTAACAGATGTTGCTAGAAACATGGAGACAGAAAAATACATACAGAAACCAGTAATTTTAAGAATGTCTAACTACTCTTTAGTAGAAGGCCAGCAGCCACCAATGACCACAAGCACCTTACAAAACCACATCCACAAAATAATCCAAAAGGGAGAAAGTCAAACAAATTGTCCCTTTTCTGTGGATAAATGGGCACAGAAAAAAGCTGTGGTCAGGGAATGAACGTACCTCTCATTGGATCAAACATCTCTGACAGCTCTTTGGGAAGTTCCAGTACTGCAAATACAACAAACCAGATGGTTTGGATCATTACATGCATTTTGTATGTATCAATACATACAAAAATGGTTTGGATCATTACATGAAGAGTCTGAAATGCTTTACAGCAGAATCAACCACAAACCTACTGTGCTCCTTACACACCCAAATCATCCAGAAATTCTGTTCACACGCTCCATGTCAAATATTTCTGCTGCAATGACAAGCAACAAAACACTTGAGCGCCACTACTTTAAAATAAATTTGTAGGAGCCCTGGGACATGAACACGTTATCACAGTCAGCAGCTGTGTCTGTAAACCTCACCCAGTACACTGCCTTGATTACCTTGTGTAGGATGAGGACCTGCCTTTGGAGAGGCAGAGTGATAAGATATATGCACATCCAAGGCCTAATTCCATAACCAAGATGACTCCACAGCTCATGCTTCTCTGAGATATGCCAGCAGCAGAGGTGAAAAAAGCACTGGGTGAGCTGCATTTGAATAAGATTTCTTCTTCTAACCATAACCCAACGTCAAGTGTTTCTGCAGGGAAGTTGGGCTTCAAAACATTCCAGCAGTGTGGCTTACCTAGAGGATGCTTTTCTCTCCTTGGGCCAGGCTGCCATTTCCTGGCATAAAGCGCCAGGGTTCCTTTTTTAAAGCACATCAAGGAGCTCCCCAAATATATACTGCAGGGTCACTAAGAACACAAGATCACTAAAGACAGATGAAGTATTCCTGAGCAAAGGAGGAAAAGGGAGACAAGAGCTCTCCTAAGACAGAAAACTCCCTGAGTTACAAAGGTGCTCTCAGTGGTGGCTGAAAATTCTGTAGCTTCATGCAGTCTCAAAAATAGGACCTTACTCTACAGAAAGGATTGAAAAGGAATAACCCTACATGCAACAGCAGAGACATGTGTCATGAGGGTGTCCCTTGAAGATTTTCTAGTACTGATGTCACAGAAAGCAGCAGGACACTAGACAAGACACAGTCACCTTGTCACCATGTTTCTGGCAGCCTCACAGGGCAATGCCCACTCATCCTTTGCAAACTCTGGCTGACAGCAAAGGCAGAATGGAGTTCAGCTCCTTCCTCCTGGCCCAGCAGCCTTTCCCTCACTCCCAGCAGCAGGATTTTGGAGAAACACATGAAACAAGCAGCACACTCACCTCCTGTGGGGTCGGGCTTGATGGGCTCAAAGGAGGTAGAGGTGCTGGGCAGGACAGAGCTGCTGTCCAGCGAGGCTGAGGACTGCAGCAGCTGCGTGTCCAACGCTGCCGGCTGGGCCTCGAAGTCACCACTGCCCTTGGACTCTGCTGCCGGGGCATCGCACTCTGGGAACAGCCACAGACACACCCAGGAATGTCATCTCCCACCAGCCCAAAGGCAGCTGCAGCACGGACTCAGCCCTCGCTGGCAGTGCTGGCCAGGCAACTGCACAGGGAGAAGCTTTCCTGCTTTCCTCCAGGTCCATATTTGGACATTCCTGCTGATCAATGAACCTGCATGACCAGCTTCTCCCCTACATGTGCTCCTACAGGTTGGCACTACCCACTGAAGCCAAGTGCCCGATCTCCCTGAGCACAGCCAGTCCCACTGACCAAGGCCAAAGGAAGGGCAGCAAAGGCAGTGATGCCCCTTTGCTAGGAGCTCTCAACACTGCACATCCAGGGCCCAGCCCCAACAGGGCCAAGAAATGGACCCTGCTCTACCAGCCACCAGCCCGTTTCTGCCTTCTGTAGCTCCCTCTCACCTGCATTTTTCTGTGTGGGAGGCCCCTGGTCCTGAGTGCTGGTGGGTGTTGGTGTGGAGGGCTGGGTGCTGCTGGGAACGGAGGCCTCCTGGAACTGGGTGAGTGGTGGGATTTGCAGCTTTGAGGGTGCAGCTGCCTGGCACTGAATGAGGTCTTCAGGGGGAGGGACAGGGAGTACGACAGGAGGAGAGCTCCAAGTATCTTTGTTTACTAGGAGAACATCAATAGGACCACTTGTGCTCTTCAGGTGGATCTGGTATTTCTTCTGCCCATTTAAGCCCTGAAAGAAATCAAAAGCAAAACACAGACTTACATTAAAAACCATTTTCAAATAGCATATCAATTTTCCACAGGCAAAACATACATGTACATGCACACACACACAGCCCCTGCACTCTGCCCATAAATTTCTCTCACCTCAGGGACAGGAACCTCCAAACGTGTGCCAGATGGTGCTCGAATCACAAGGAGGGTGTCTCCTGTGAAAACAGAAGCAGTCAGGGCTCCTGGGCACAAGCTGTTGTAATGTTAATTAAGCATGGATGAAGAGCCCCTCCTCAACACCCCCTCTCCTGGCAATCCTCCATGGAAGGAAGACATCTACACCCCAAGCACATCATACAGTTCCTAATGTGCCAACGGCCCAGGGCACAAAGAACTTGCAAAGCTTCCCCCTGTGCAACCCTGAAGTCTTTCAGCAGTGTCCTTATCAAGACTAATTTCTCTTTTCCTCGGAAGAACTGTCTTAAATTCACTCTTAAGAACACCTGATTCCTAAGGGAAGTATCCTTCATTCTGCTGTCACAAGCTTTTAGATATGAATTAGAAACAAAAGAGCTGCACTGCCAGCAGAGAGATGGGGTTGAACCAGGCTCAGAGCCAGGCTGCCAACCTCAGGCTGATGTCCCAACACCTGAAACCAACACTCCCCAGTCTCTACTGGCCAGAGCTGCTTTAGTTGGACTGGATCCTCCACACAGCCCAGCACATGTGGGGCTGGAAGCCAGGCTGACAGCATCCTTCCTTTCCAAATTCTGCAGCTCAAGACCTGCACCCTAATAACTCAACAATCACAGGTAAGCAGTTCCCAGCCCATATCTGGGTTTAGAGAAACATGAACAGAGAAATACGAGAGCTATGAATATCTGACATATTTAGATCAAGCAGCTTGCAGCTTTCACTTTGAATGTTTAAGCTTTAGTGGGGTTAATATTCACAATTCACCAGTATTCTGATTAAGCTTCACGTGGTAATTAACACAGAAGATCCCCAGAGCGATGAGAGTGGACAGCAGAAAAGCACATCCCTTAACTTCAGGTTGGCAATCAAGTCAGATCAGCAAAAGGTAAGGGGATTAAAAACAACATGGGATTTGTCAACTGGATGGGACTTTGTTAAACAAACCTACACTTAAGAAAAATGTGAAAAACATGTAAAATGCATAATAAAGCTCAAAGACACCAGCCACCAGCTCAAGCTGTAAGACCTGTCTGTTTCAAAGACAGGTGCTAGGTTTGCATCTCCTTTGATAAGTATGTCCCAAATACTTGTACAAAACAGCACCCAGTAAGTTTCCACTTCCTTTTTGAATCTGCAAGTGCAAAATGCATCACAGCAACAGATGCAGAAATTAGGTTTCCCAGTCACTAAAAACTGACATATTCTTACTTCTTTCTTTTTTAAATTGATCTCTATTTGACGAGAGCCCAAGAGTGTGGAGCAAGCAAATTCAATAGCAGTCAATTAAAAAACCAACAGCTGAAATTCAGCCTGCACCACAGTTTGAGAACACAAGAGATCCACCAAACAACCTCTGTAAGGCTCAGGTGTTCAGGAGAAGAAAAAGAGCTATATAAGGCATATTCATACAGAAAAACTGGACAGGCAATGGAAAACCATGGATGAAAGCCTCTATTCTAGAGGAAACTGACACCTACCCTCAGTAAGATCTAATCTCTGCATGCTTTGGTGAGGTCTGACCTCAAACACCAAGTGGCTTACAAAAACCAGGTGCAATGAAATGCAAAACACTCAACCAGCCAAGCAATGAGCTGTCTGCTGGTCTCCAGTAAACTCTTCCAGACTGTTACAAGTGATCTGGCCACAGCACTGTCAAACAGAAAACACAATCCCTGCCCCCAAAAGTGCAGCTTCAACCAAAAGAGACAGTAAAGCCAAGGGGGTGGTGATGCAGCCGTTACACCAGCAGGAACTTGGTGAACAAGGAAAGCACAAAGGCAGCGACAGCAAACAGAGGAGCTGATGAAGTGCAGGCTGAGAGAAGTGCTTGGAGGAGATGAGGAGAGCCAGACACAGGTGAGATTATGCACGGCTGGGGGCAGCCAGGATAAACAGCTCCAATCTCTGCAGCAACCAAGCAGAAGCAGGAGAGGTCAGGCACCCACTGAAGCAGAAAGGAGCTGCGACTCAACACCACTACAGATGGGAAGAGCAGTTTATGTACTGAGGCTGCCTCACTGCCTGCTGGCCACCAGCCATTAATCTGGTCTTACATCTGTCATTAGAACTGGCAGCAGAAGAAACAAAAACTCCTGTGGGTTTTCTTCACTTTTGCCCAGAGACAGAACACAGGACTTTTGATACAGGCCCCTCCAACTTCAGGAATAAAAGGAGTGAGGGCAGAGCAAGTGGTGCATTCCCTTCTGTTCTCTTCTGTCTCCTTCCTGCATTCTTGTTGGCAGGGGAGATGATGTAGCTGAGGGACCACCTTTAATACTATTTCCCTGCTTACACCATGGTTTCTACTGTGAAATAAAATTTGTTTCCTGTCATTAGAACATTGTCCACCCAAGCCCTTAAAATTAAGGGCTTCTAACATAACTCACATACACACACACAGTGAAAACCAGCAAGAAGACTTCCTTAGGAGCAGCACCTCTATTCCTTCAAGCACAATTAAAATATATGGCCTGTCCCCTCTAATGGAGACAATGAAGCTACAACTCAGTGGTACACAAACCCAGGACAGCATCACAGCTGACATTACATTTCACTTGATGCTGTTGGAGAAAGCAAAGCAGCTGGGACAGACTGACAGGCCTGCAGCATCACATCTTTACAGTGGAGCACCTCATTGAAAATGAGCATTTCCTCACCTGTGAAGCACTTGCAGATATCTTCATGTGTCACATATGCTAATGTTCTCAAGGTTAAGGAGAAAGGCTGCAGCTTCCTGCACAGAGAGCTCAAAGGGTTTCCTTCCTGAGCACAAGGAGCCTTCCCAGAAAGCTCTCCATGCCACACTCTGAAGTGGTCTGCAGGTGAGGTCTGCAAGCTCTGTGCCCATCAGATCTGACATCCTGAGATAGTTAAGCCACAAGAGCAGCTCTGCACTAAATAAAGTGGCACCTGTGACTCAGAAAAAACCACTTTTCTCACTGTGGTAAACATTACTATGTTTTTACTTCCAAAAGCCAGAGGAGAAGCTGGATGCAGAGAAAAGCAGGTCTCCAGGCTGGACAGTTACCCTAATTTCAAACCAAGGTGCTGCCTTTTGATCCTTTCAGTGCAGCTTCTCCAGCAGCAACAGGCCAGCACCCACCAAGCTGTCATGTCTCTGCTTCCCAGCCCAGCAAGTGAACACGGAGACAGAGCCATCAGTTCACACAAAGGATATCGACTGTTCTGCATGTCTTCTGTAACATTTTTGATGCTCTGCTGAACCCACATCTTCTGCTGCTCCAGCTCCTGCTCCCGCTGCTCCAAGTCCTCAATGTCTGCCTTCAGCTCAATCAGTTTGTGAGCTATTTCACGTGTGTTGCAGCCAGGACCCACCCCCCTGGGTAAAACAAAAATGGGTGAGATATATCAGCCTCTGGAGGCACCCAGACCAACATCAATCTCTCTGCCAGCCTCTTATTCCCACCCGTGTCAAACACCAATGCCAGATTGCCTGGAAAGCTGTGTCTGTACCCACTCTAGACCCCCACTTCCCACCATAGCAATGTTTGGTACACCTTTCTACTTCCCACAGTCTCCCCCACCTCCAGTGCCATGACAGGTATCTTTCCTAGACCAAGGCAGTGCAAATATTTAGTTTGTACCAAAATAACACCTTTGCTGTAAGAGAGACACCATACGAACTTCAGCTTTCCTCACTGTGCCATCAGCACAGCACAGCTGGGGGAGGCAAGAGCATGGACCACTCAGGAACCTCCCTCTGCACACAGCATTTTAATCCCACTGTCACTTAAATCTGCATTAGAAGGGACCTGTGAATGATTTAGACCATCTCTACCACTCACTTCCACTGGATACTGTTCTTGGACTTCTTCTCAATCAACCCGATGCCTTCCAGGACATTCGTGATATCGTAGATCCGTCGCTTCTGTCGCACAGCCAAGGTATCTGCAGCCTGAAAAAGGTTAAGACACTTAATTCCAAACTCTCAGTCATGTTTAGCTCCTTCCTGCCTGGCAGATTAACTCCTGGCCAAATACTTTGCTCCCTGTTTCATACCTCTCCCATTCCAGCGTTTCAAGTTACACAGCCATCTTCTTGATCTCACATGACCATGAGAAGAAGTCACTCATTCTTCTTTTTTTCTTACCCCACAGCCTCCCCACTAAACACAAATCAAATTCCAGCACTCCTACTCACAGTGGATACAAAAATCACCATTCTCCAGTAGCAAAGCAGTGCTAGAACATAGTAGTTCAGCAGCCTAAAAATTTAGTGCTCCCTCGGGGTAGAGATGGAGATGGGAAGGGGAATGCTGAGAGCTGTCTGTGCAACACTTCAGTGAAATCAACATTCACAAGGTCTTTTCTAAAGCTGATCTGACACTACTTGATAAAGAATCAATACCTTTTCAAGAGATTCCTCTGTTTGAATGACATGACTCCAGGTGGAGAGTAACCATGAGCATGCCTGGGGCTTCCCTGCCTTGCTCAAATAACCCTTTTCCCTCAGGTTTCAGGACTCAAGGAATGGCACTGTTTCCACTACCACACGGCAACCTGGCACCAGCAAGAGTTAATGTGTGCACAGAAGGACCAACAATGTCAGTGGCAGTGCAGACACAGCAGGTCAGCACAGGAACTATGTCTCTGTCACCTACCAGTGACAGGCCAGGACCTCAGAGATCCTACACCACACAACTACATAAATCACACTGACTAACACAAATTCCCTTAATGGACATTTGAAGAAGAAAAATATTGTCAAATCAAATGAGAAAACAATTTGGCACAGGCATGGAGCCAGGAAACTCCTCCAGTCCATTACTGGGGCTTTCTGGCACTTGTCTGTCTCACACACGTGCCCACATAAGAGATGCTTATATAAACCACAGCAAAAGAACTTCCCCTACAGGAAAGGCCAGAGATTAAATACTATACATTGACAGTGTTACTTCCTCTAGGTGAAGATCTTAAAATGCAGAAGCAAGATGATTTCACACAACACTTCTCCACTGCCTAAAGGCATGGGGACAACCTCTGGCAGGTGACTCTGACCACCCTCCCCATCCTGGTGTGTGCCAGGAGGGTTAAGTGCTGTATGGACAGTTTCTATAGGTATGTGTTTCTGTAGATGTCTGAGGCTTTGGTGCCAGTGATCAAGTACGGGGCAAGAACGCATAAGAGAAGAAGGTGGTCAAACGTTTCTGCAACTGAAGCACACATACACCTCCAATGCATGGCCAAGTCCTGGCGAAAAGAAGAGTCGCCGGGACAACCCGACGGGGTGGGGACAAGGGCTGGGAAGGAGGAGCAGGCGGGGGTGTAAGGTCGGCCAATGCAGAGCCCTCTGTGTACGGCCGGCAGCCCGGCCGCAGCCCCAGAACCCCGCTTTCCGCTCGCCTAGAAACAGCATCAGTACGGCTGGAAAAGCCCTCACGGCTCATCGATCCCAGCCCCTAAACCCCACCACTGAACCATGTTCCTAAGCACCGCACCCACAAACCTTTTGAGCGGGGACAGTGCCTCCACCGCTGCCCTGGGCAGCCCATCCCACCAGTGCCTCAGCACTCTTGCCGTGAAGAAATTTTTCCTGGAATCCAAACTAAACCACCTGCTGCACCGGGCGCTGCCATGCCCCCGTTCTCCCCCTGCAGACCTGCTCCAGCCGCCGGAGGACCGGTCCCGCCGGAGCATCGCTCTCCCGGCGGCCGCTCCCTCCGAGCCCTCCCCCGGGGCGGCGGAGCCCTCCACCCCCCCGGCTGCCCCCGCACCAGCTTGAGGTCGAGCACGCCGTCCTTGGCCTCCTGCAGCAGCGACACGAACTTGGTGGTCAGCAGCCCCAGGCTCTTCTCGTGCCGGCTGGGCGCGCCCGCAGCCCCGCTGCCACCGCCGGCGGGCTGCGCCCCGCACTCCGCCATCTGCCCGCCGCCGCCGCCGGCTCCGGGGCCGCGCATCCGCTTCCGGGCCGCGGGGCTCCCCGGGAACCTCCGGGGCGGGGACGGCGGCGGGGCGGGGACCGGGGACTCCCCGCCGCCGCCTCCCGGGGCCCCGGAGCCGTTCCGCTCTGCTCCCGGTGTTCCGTCAGCCCCGTCGGTTTGGGGGTCCCCCGGGCAAAGCCAGGGGTGCGTCCATCCCCTCGCCGTTCTGCGGTGCCAAAGTCAAGCCCCACCCTGTGGTAGCGAAGCCAAACCTCAGCCGTGTACTCGGCTCTCACCGCCCGGGTGTCAGGGCCGGTTTGCTGCTCCAGCACACCCAGCGCCGGGGGAATCCTCCAGCCTGTGCCCGGGGAAGGCAGCCTGTGGCAGGGACACATCTGCAGGTCCATCTGCAGCCATGGAGGGTGCATCCCCGCGTTCTCGCCTCCGGGTCACGCTGGCACAGCACACCCTTCATGGTGATCCACCCTCGAGTGGGCTCGCACTGTGGATGGGCTGGGGTCTGGGACCCCGCTGGCCTCCCCGAGCCAGGGTGGGTGCGAGAGAACAGTGCTGCGGGCACGGACAGGGCTGAGTGTCCGGAGAACAGGGGGTGCCGGTGTGGGTGGACAGGACGAGAGGAAATGGCCTCAAGTTGAGTCAGGAGAGGGCTAGATTGGATATTAGGGGAAATTTCTTCATTAAAGGATGGTCAGGCACTGTAAAATGTTGCCTGGGGCAGTGGTGAAGTCACCATCCCCGGACACGTTAAAAAGCCGTGTGGATGTATCACTTAGGATATGGTTTAGTGGTGGGCTCGGCAGTTACCGGTTGGTACTCGATGATTTTAGAGGGCTTTTCCGATCTAAACGATCCTTTGATTCCGTGACTTGTATTCCCCAGACCTCCGGCTGTCGCCGTGCCTTCCCGTGTCCCCCCTCCCCTCCGCCCCCCGTTCCTGACGTCCTGAGCGCGGCTGCGGGAACACAATGAGGCCCTGAGGAGCGCGGCTGCTCCGGCTGAGGAAACGGCAGCCGGCTTCCTCCGCAGCCCTGCCCTGGCCCCGCAGCTCCGCGCAGCCTGGACACCATGGGCATGTCTGCGGAGGACGAGCGCGCCGCCAGCCCCAGAGGTAACGCGCATGATGCTCCCCGGGAGCCGGCGAGCTGGGCAGGGAAGGGATGCTGCTGCTTTGCAGCACGTTTTGGGGATTCCCCTGCTCTTTGCCTCACCACCCCCTCCACCCTCCTGGATCTTTTCCCTGTGCCGTGGCTGGTGCTTTGTTGTCCTTGCGGGGTGGCAGCCTGGCTGTGCTTCCTGATGGCGATACCTGCGCGGGGGCAGTTCTGCTCACCGCTCATCTTATCCTCAAAGCTGCTGTCCTCCTCCCTAATCCCCTGGTCCCAAGGCTGCCAGCGGCTCCCCAGCAGAGCAGGAGCCTGGCTTGGCACGGGGTGATAGCCCCGCGGAGCTGCAGGGAGTGGCTGGGGATGGGGTGGCGTGGGGGAATGATGAAACCAGGCATGAGGGGACTGGGAATGGTGTGTGATAACTGTGCTGGTTCTCAGACCTCCACTGTGGCCAGGAGCTCTTTGGCATGGCTTTGGACCCTGTGTCAAGGGGGACACAGCTGCATGGGTGCTTTGGGGAGACCAGGAGTCTCCAATCCTCACTTTAGCCTGGCTCTCCTTCCTGCGAGAACTGCTGTGTCCCCATCCCTCCTGCTGACTCACTGCTGGAGTCTCAACCCTGCTGACAGCTGCCCAAGTGGCATCAAACCCCCTCAGACAACCCAGCATTTTGTTTTGGGGAGTAGCCGGGATGTACACTCAGCCTGGGGACAATCTGAACTGGCAGGCTGAGTCACAGCACCCCAGGACAGCTTTATTTCTTGCTGCCACAGCTGCTATGACAACCCCGGGCCGTGGTGGTGGCATCTTAGGGGGCCCTTGTGGAAGGACCCTCTTGGGGACACGCTGCCCAGCTTCCCACGTCGGTGTGTGCTTGGAAGTCCACTAGCGGCGAGCTTCCTGCCTCTGGCCTCAGGGGCCCTTCCTGCCCCACTTGGTTGTGCTCACTGACCCCTGGCTTCGTCCCCAGACGAGGAGTGGCCGGAAGCGGAGAAGGCTGAGAAGCTGGCGAGAGGAGCTGCTCTGAAATGGGCTTCAGGGGTGTTTTACCGCCCCGAGAAACTGGAGGGGCTCGGGCATTACCGGAGGCGAGAGACGCAGAGGAACAACTCCATCCAGTCCCGGCTGAAGGTGTGTGTTTGCCCATCCCGCGGACACTTGCAGCCACACCCCCTCCTCAGGCAGGGACCCCAGCCAGGTCCCCTCTTGCGCCATCAATTCTCTGTATGTCCTCTTTTGACAAAATCTTTTCCTTTGGCTGGCGTTTGGTGGGTGAAGTGTAATTGTTGGGGAGAGAAGACCCCCTTCACCCTCTGCCTTACCCCCAGGCAGTGTCTGAAGTGTTAAAAGGAGTCTTCTGTGTCTCTGACAATGCGGCAAAATAAAACACCAAGGGGGCTCAGCACATTCCATGTGCAGGACTCAGTGCACCCCATCACTGCCCCGTCCCAGCCCCAAAGGCTGCCCTGCCCCACAGCTGGGAGGAAGCACAGAGCTCCAACCTGTCCCTGCCTGTGCATCTCCACAGGGAAAACTCCATCTCTCCACATTTGTAAGGGTTGTCCCAGTCCCCCTGCACACTTGCCTCCTCACCCACATCCTCTTTTGCATGACCCAAGGAATCAGTCTGAGCACCACAACTTTCTCCTAATAATTTTAGAAATGGTTTCTCCTATCCTGACTCTGGATGAATTGTCTGGGAGGCCTCCGTGAAAGCAACTTTTCCTGGTGATTCTTGGCATCAGGAGCAGGGAGTTAAATGAGTGGATAGGGCACGGAGATGTGCCAGTGCAGGGCTGGAAACAATGGCACTCCATTTGGGAGGAGGGTTTATATGGCCACTGAGGTCCTTCATACCTTGGGGGCACATAGGGACCCTATGACCCACTGCTCTTTTGCAGAAGCAAAGTAATCTTTTAAAACTGAGAGAGGCATCTGCTTGCTGTTTACCATGGGCCTTGTGGGGCTGGGAGAGTGCCTGCAACACATATTGTACAGGGCTGGGACAAGTGGTGTGGAGTCCTCCTGCCTTCTGGAGCTGCTCCACTGCCCATCCTTTTCTGCTCCCCAGTCAACTGTCCAGTCCTACCTGGAGGGGGTAAGTGCAGGGCTGGAGCAGCTGCGGTCGGCGGCCCAGGAGGTGCAGGGCGTGTGCCAGGACCTGGGGGCTGCACGGTGGGCCCTGCTCGACAGCGCAGACAACTTCCAGGGCCTCCAGCAGATGAGGAAGCTGATGGAGGAACATGTGCAGCTGGCCTCGGTGGTCCAGGTGCTGCCCCAGATCTTCTCGGGTAAGGCACTGGCCCAATCCTGGTCAATTTGGGCTGAAAAGCACTGGGGGAAACCTCAGTGCAACCACAGGCTCTGTGCAGGGCTGGTGGTAAAGCAGGTCACTCAGGCTTTGCCAGCTGGGTGAATGGAGATATCCCTACTTCCCCAGGGCCTGATCCAATGGTGTTCCCAGAGCCCCAGACCTTTCCCCTCACCATCTCCTTGATAACCTGCATCTATGTCCCTGGTGCAAACCCCTTCATCTCCACACTCAGTGCTGGCATCTCTCCTCCCTCTCCCACAGTCCACGAGGTTTTTTCCCATATCCTGCAGCTGCTCCATGGGCAGCATCTCTTGGAGGCCCACGTGGAACTCATGATGGTAGAGCAACTCCGGGATGACATCCTCTCCCAGCTGCACCTCCGCGGGCTCTCCGATGCCCAGGCAACTGTGCTGTCCTACTTCAGTGGCCTGCAGGACCTCAACGAGAGCCTGGCCAAACAGCTGTGGGACATTGTGGGCAGCAGCCTGCAGCTGGTGCGCGAGGACCCCGTTCTCTTTGTCACTGCTGTGAGGATCATCGAGCGGGAGGAGAAAATAGATGATACTCTGCTCTTGGAGGCCACCTTCCTTCCCCCTGGCCGCCCAAAGGGCTGGAGGCAGAAGTTCTACCAGGTCCTCCAGGACACCATCACAGGAGCCCGTTTCCATGCTCCCCGCATGGATGCTGAGGGGCCAGGGCTGGCCAAGCACCTGGCAGCGCTGCAAAAGGACATCGTGTCGGAGCTGCGTGTGGTGAAGGACCTGATGGTCCAGTGTGTCCCAGCCCACTACAACATCCTCAGCCTCTGCACTGCCACCTACCACCAGGCCCTCACCAGCCACCTCCAGGAGATCCTGCGGGAGGACCTGGACAAACAGGGACTCTTCCTTCTCCTTGAGTGGGCGCTCCGTGTATACCACAGGTCAGCAGCAACCCCGGCACAACCAAGTGGGGGATGTTGTGGAGAGCAGGGTTGTTCACCAGCTCATGGATGGGTTAGGAGAGTGTCTCTAGCTGCCAGGGGATGATGACCAGGAGGGCAGAGGGACAGGTAGGAACTCCTGGAAAACAGGCCTTCCCAGCCCTGCCCCACCTCTGCCCTCCAGCCCAGAGATGATGGGTCACCCTGACCTCCTCCCAGAAGTGGATGTTTCTGCTCTGGATCCCTTGATGTCCTCTGAGCTTGTGGATCAGACAGAGAGGAGATACGTGATGAAAGTCAAGGTGAGTGAGCGGGACAGAGACCCAGTGACTCCCACTGAGCCAAGCATCTGCTCTGACAGCAGCTGCAGACCATGAGCCTGGCATGAGGCCCAGGACTTGCTGTGCTATGTTGGGTCTCAAGGAAGTCCGTATGTGGCTTCTTGGGCTGCCTATGGTGAGTGTCCATTCTGCAGGCTAGCATGTTCGAGTGGATGCAGAGGACCCTGGAGGTGGAGTTCAAGGAGTGGTTCAAGGAAGAGGAACCTGAGACAGACCATCAGGGCTTCTTCCAGTCAGCCTTGCCTGCCATTGTCATGCAGGTGGGACCCCAATACATGGGTACAGAGGGGGCTTGGCCATGCTGAGACCTCCCAGAAAGGAGGCCATGGCCTGCAGGCTCTCCCTGAATCGCCCCCACTTTCCTCTTCTGCTGCAGATGCTGAATGAGAACATCCAGGTGGCTTCCTTGATCACCAACTCTCTGCAGCAGAAGATCTACAACATGGCCTTGGAGGAGCTTGAGGCATTCCTGGGCCGGTCAGTGGAGCCACTCACACCCCTGTCCACCCTCACAGACCCTGGGGCCATGGCTGAGCATCACAGGCTGGTGGTGGAAATCTGCTGCCCCAAATGCTTGTCAGGGGATTCAGAATGGGTCCCACTGTCCCGCCCTGCCCAACAACCTGTCACTCTCCAACCTGGTGGCAGGATCTGAAAGGAGCCAAGTGAGCTGGGAGGGTTGTGGGAGGTCCATGTGTCCCCAGGAGCATCCCAGAGCCCTGTCCCCGTGGTGGGATGCCTGGGGCTCTGCCTGCCTGTCACGGCTGCCTCGCTGTGTTGCAGCCTGCGGGAAGCCCTGGCGCAGTGTGGGAAGGAACACCAGCAGGACCGGGCCGTCCCCAAGTACTACATCTCCCACCTGCTGGCCGTGCTCAACAACAACCTGGCTCTCAGGTAACCTGCACCAGCACCTGGGAGCTCCTGTAGCAACACCCACCCCCATCCTCCCTGGAGCCAGTGTTCCCACGATGCTTCCCAGGCTACCTGTACCCTCTCTTCTCTCTCCTAGCAATTTTGTCTCATCCTTGCACCCTGACACTGCCTGCAGAGAAGTCCCTGGATCCCTGCAGGCTGCTCTAGACAGGATGCAGAAGAAAGCCACCCAGCTGCTGCTGGAGGAACTGCTCCTGGACCTGCAGGTACGTTGGTCCAGCACCTGAGGCCAACAGGGCTGCAACGAAGCTGAACCCAGCAATAACAGCCCTACTACAACATGAGTTTATTCCTGCCCAGGGTCCCTGCTCTGCACTCTGTACCCTGCTATCACCCTGCAGACATCTCTGCCAGCCTGTCCCCCAGACCTTGATAAACCACCCGATGTCTGTCACCAGCAGCACCACCCCGTATCGCTGGGGCAGATGGCTCATGGCCCCCAAATCACTAACGGACAGAGACCAGGAGCCTTAGGGCCCCAGCTGCCTCATGCTCTTTCTGGCTCTTCCATGGCAGAAAACCAGCTGGAGAGCAGTAAAGTCTGTGTGGAGGATACAAATCTATGTGCAACTGCCCGAGTAGTTTCCTGCTAGTGTAGTCAAATTTAGCTTTCCTGGAGTCTGGACCAAAAACCTGGAATAATTAACGACATTACTATTTAGGGCTTGAATGCCATGAAAACAAAGGAAGAGCCAAAGGGTGAGGAGATTGCAGGCAGCAGTGGTCCCAGCAGAGACAGAAGGAGTGTGTGCCTGCAAGCAGGAAGACAGGCAAGGACAGCAGGGCGGGAGTAGGAAATCAAAAAAACATGTTATGTTTACACAAGGGAAGTGGAGAGAAGTGGAAATTAAAAATAGGCAGGACAGGCCAAAAGCAGGTGTGTGAGAAGCAGCTCGCTGCCCACACCTCAGGTGTGCATCATGATCCAAATAAAGCCCCAAAATGAGGCTCTCAGGGTGTCAGGGAGGGACAGCCCCAGCGTTTCCATAATTTCCTAACCTTAACCACTCTGCTGTTTTCACACTGAGTTTTGGCTGGCAGCAGGTGCTGGGGGCTTTGCAAGGCAAAGTGGCCGTGGTGCCAGGCAGCAGCTGTGGGTGTTGTGCTGCCCTGAGCTGGCAGCTCTGCGATGATGCAGGGCACAGACGCTGCTCCTCTGCTCCCTTCAGCCCCTCTGCCTGCAGCTGCTTTCCCGCAAGTGGCTCTCCGGGTCCCAGCTCGTCGGCAGCATGTGTGAAGTGATTGACAAGTATGCAAAGGACTTCTCCCGCGTCAGGAAACCCGTGTTCACGGTACCTCCTTCGAGCGGCTGCCTGTGGGACAGGGCGCTGGGCAGCGGGCACCGTGCTGGGCTGCAGGGAATGCTGGAGAGTCTGTGTCCTCCGAGAGCACCGCCACACGGAGATGTTCAGGGCTTCCCCCAAATCCAGCTGTTTTCTCTGTCCCTTCGGTCAGGGGGCTTCTCAGGAGATTGTTCCCATGGCTTGGTGTTGTATCAATCCTTTTTGCCTTCGCCTTTTCCCTGGGGAACTGGGTCTGGACACCCAGGCAATGCCAGCAGCGCTAACAGCTGTCCCCTGCCCAGCTCCTGCTGGCGGAGAGTGAGCTCCTGGTGGTGAACCAGTACCTGCGGGCACTCCTGCAGAGGAAGATGGTGTGCAAGAGCCGGGAGGAGCGGGGCCAGCTGTGCCACCGCCTGCTGCAGGACGCCACGCAGCTCCGGGAGCTCTTCTGTGGCCTGGTGAGAGGAGCCCGGGTGTGGTGGGGAGCCAGGGCTGTGCCACGGAAAGGGAGCATCACCTCACCCTCCTGCACCCCTCCAGCCCACAGCCCACGAGCAATGGGGCTGTTCCACCAGGGTGGTTGTGAGGCCAATATGGGAGGAACTGGCTGGATTAAGGACCCTGGGGACTGTCACCTGCCCAGCAGCCCCTGATGGGTGGGACATGATGAGTGGGAAGGCAGCAGCTGCAGGGGCTTAGGTGCCCACGTGGGCACTGAGGATGCAGCTGTCTCCTCAGCCACTGCAGTGACATCCTCTGGGTCTCACACCTGGCTGCTTTCCCTCCCAGGGCCTGGACCGGGGCCAGCAGAGCCTGGAGGCTGTTTTTGCCCTGCGGGAGCTGATCTACCTCAAAGACCCAGCACTACTCAGCCTGGAGGTGCTGGGCTTCATCACCAAGTACCCCGATGTCAGGTAAGCTGCTCCCTGCAGGATAGGTGTGAGCCTGCCCAGGAGAGCCAGTCTTGGGCTGCACCCTCTGAGGTGACAGAGCAGAACAGGCAGAAACCTGAGCCTTTACCCTCTTCTCCCTGAGGTTTCTTTTTCCCATGCTCCAGATTTGACGGGTTCTTGAAAGTCCCAAGGGCAAAGGTGTACAGAAAACAGCAGTTCTGCTGTGGCATTTGCATATCTGTATTTGGTGGCCAAACAAACTGTGAAAATAACAAAACACCAAATTGGAAATGTCAAAACCAAATTCAGAAGGTTTGGGGGGATTGTTTTCAAGAAAATTCTACTTGGCCTGGTGCAAAGCACCAGTTTTCCCCTGGCCCCGGCTTGGCTTCTCTGGATGGGGGAGGTTTGCAGGACACGAGCAGTGCTCGGGCTCACCCCTGGCTCTCTGCCCAGCGATGAGCACATCTCCACCTTGCTGGATATCCGCGGGGACGTCTCCAAGGAAGTGCGGCACGTGGTGCTGGAAATGATGGCTCAGCACCCCCAGGCTCTGCCCGAGGGCTACCGGCCCATCTTCAGCACCATCCTGGTCCCTGTGCAGGAGCAGCCCTTCTGCCTTCGTAAGGGCAAGTGTGCCTGAGCCCGCCTGGCACTGGTGCCCCGCTGGTCCCAGGTAGGGGTCATGCAGGGCAGTTCTGTGGTTGTGCGTGGTGAGAATGGAGGTGAATGTGGCATCCCCTACACACAGCACCTTGTCCTGTGTTGGGGACAGTCTGGATAAAGGCTCTTCTCCTCTGGTCTTGCCCCATGAGAAGACTGTCCCCTGCAAGCACCAGTCCTGGGATACCTGGACTGGGGGAAATCCAACCTGTAGCTATTTTGGTGGCCTGCTGGGACAGTGACTGAGGGCTGCTTAGGCTCAGACCCATTGCCTGCAGGAGAAAGAACACTTGCAGAATGGACAGGAATCTGCAGCTGGGAAAAAATCACATCTCCATGGGGCAGAGATGCTTGAGTTTCCCCAAGTCTTCAGACAACCCCCCGAGCCAGTGTGTCCCAGCCATGGAGGCTGTTACCATTCCAACTCTGGGGCAGACTGAAGCCTTGCTGGGACCAGGCTGGCAGGAAGGTTTCAGCCATGGGAGCTCCTCTGGGCTCAGCCCTGGGGTTGGGTGCTGCTGCTCCACCAGGCTGGGCCCCGCATGGCCAGTGGGGAGCAGCTGAGCCAGCTCATCATGGCTCATGCATCCTGAGGAGATGAGCACAAGGTGGTCACCTCACCCTCAACAGTGCCACCAGCCCTATCCCTGCTGGCACAAAGGGACAGCTCTGAGTTCCTGCTGACCTGCCAGACTTCTGGCTCATTTGCCAGGAGGAACACTGGAGTTGGAGGCACTCAAGCTGCATGGAGAGTGTGGTTGTGCCTGGTGTGTTGTCCTGCTCCAAGGTTCCTCCGTGATGGGCAGCACCACCCTGAGCACTGGCCCTCCCTCCATCCTCTGCTGCTGCCCAGGCCTTGGCATCTCCTCCCAGGTGCCATATGAAGATCAGGAGCAGTCTGTTTCTACCTACACCGTTGTGCCTAGCCCCTGCAGCACTCCAGGAGACCTCCATGCTCTGCCATGCTTCCCACCCTGGGATGGGCCACATCCCACTGTCCTTGCATGGTACCACTGCTGGAAATAAAGGCCTAAGCTCTGAACTCGTTCCCCAGTGTCCAGGCTCTGCCCCCTGGAGGGTTGGGGCAGGGATCAGGGTATGTGGGTGGCACAGAGAGGGAGGGATCCATCCCCATGTCCAGCATCACCCCAGACCTGGCTCCCTGCACCCTGTGCCAGCCCAGAAGATCACCCAGGACACGGGGGATGATGCAGACAGTACATACCCCATTGTCCAGGACAGAGGGGGCCGAGTGCTCCCCCGCCTTGGGTCAAGTGGTGGCAATGCTTGGGGGATGCTCAGTGAAGGGCTCAACCTCAGCTTGGGGAGGTGCCCACTGTTCTCCCTGGGGGCTCATAGTGTGCTTGCACAGCTGGCCACAGCTCCCAGCTGCCTGGGAAGGTATCTGCTCTCCCCACCTGCCCCTGCTGGCTAGGGGACTGCACCATGGACATGGTTCAAAAGGTTCAACCCTGAGCCCTGGGAACATCCAGGTGGGTCCAGACCACGACTTTATGGCCATGTGGAAAAACAGCTCTAGTCCCAATAGATCTGAAAGAAGTCTAAGTATGGGATGACCTCTCACCCCAGGAACTGGTGCCCATCCCAGCATGTCCAGCCTCACTGCTACCCTAGCTGTGTGCCCACAACCAGCCTCTTGTGCCCTCCATCACAGCCCTGTGGTTCTCTCCAGCTCCACAGGCTGCAGTCAGAACTAACACAACCCATGACAGCAAAAGCCCAAGCCCCCCAGGTGTCTTTTGACAGTACCTTCCCACGTCCCTGTTTGTGTGTGTGCCAGGCTTGGCCTGTCACTGCTGCCCATGTATTTGTCACAAGGCCACAGGGGGACCTTAACCTGGCCAGCTATGAGCCACGTGGCTCCCTGGCTGCTATAAAGCTCATGGTCCCCAGGGGTTCAACTTATCTCCTTTCAACATGGCATTCCTGTGGGTAGTTGCCTGCATGGCCCTTGCCAGCGCCGTCTCAGGTAAATGCTGCCCATGGGTGTGGGGGAGTCCTTGGGGTGCAGCAGATGCAGCAGGGAGGGTGACACACAGACACCCACCAGCACAGGCAGCCCCCAGATATGAGTCCTGAGCTTTTGGGTCACCCTAGTCCCCTGTGCCTCTCCTGCAGGCTGCGGGGTGCCCGCCATCAGTCCCTCGATTGCCTACAGCGAAAGGATTGTCAATGGGCAGAACGCTGTGCCCGGCTCCTGGCCCTGGCAGGTGTCCCTGCAGGTACAGCACCGTCCCGCTCCCTGGGCACTGCCCTAGGCCCTGGCATGGCCAGCTGGCTGCCATGGTTGTGCACCAAGGGCACATCTGCCTGTCCCCAGCTTGGGGGTATTCAGCCCCCCCAGCCCCAGCTCCTGTTCCTTCTTCCCTCCCCAGACCACCACAGGATCCCACTTCTGCGGCGGCTCCTTGATCAACGAGAACTGGGTCGTCACAGCTGCCCACTGCAATTTCAAGTAAGGAGTGATGCCCGGCCAGCCCACGCCGGTGCTGCTGGCATGGGGGCATCCCTGAGTGGCACTTGGGTCAGCCCCAAAGGCCCGAGCAGCCCGGGGCTTCCTCCCCAATGGTCCCCATGGTGGCTTCCCTTGGGTTCCTTGTGCCGGTGGCTGCCCCAGTGCTGCTCCCACCCGGGGTGCTGGCTGGACTCGTGGCCCTGACTCCCTCTTACCTCTCGCAGCCCGCGCAGCCACGTTGTCGTCCTGGGGGAATACAACCTTGCTTCCAGCGCCGAGGCCGTTCAAGTGAAGACCGTGTCCAGGGTGAGCCAGGCGGACGCGGTCCTGGCACAGGGCTGCAGCTCCGCGCTGCCGCTGCTCCCACAGGGCAGGCGTGAAGGTCTGTGGTGTTCCTCTCTCTGCAGGCCATCACCAACCCCAGCTGGAACCCCAACACCATGAACAATGACATCACCCTGCTGAGGCTGTCCACACCCGCCAAGCTGGGATCCCATGTGTCCACCATCTGCCTGGCCCCTGCCAACCTGGTTCTGCCCTCCAACGCCCGGGCTGTCACCACCGGCTGGGGACGCACCAACCCCAACTGTACGTGAGCTGCAGCTTCAGGGAGGGCTGTGTGTAGCTGTTCTTCTTCCTCAGGGTTCTGAAGGTCCAGGAGTGCTTGTGGGGGTGACATCTCCTGTACATGTGGGAAGGGGGGAGCTGGGCAGTGGAGTAACCCTGTCTGAGCATGTACCAGTGTGCACATAGGCGTAGGTGTGTGCTAAGGGGCTGGCTGTGTGTGTAACCCAGGGATGGCTGTGCACAGGCACAAGCCTGCCCTTTCTCAGGGCTGCCTACACGAGGTGATCCTGGAGAAGAAAGGGTTTGTTGGCATGGAGGAGGAAGGTGCTTTGTATGGTAACACCCATGCACCAGTGGAAGCTTGCCCAGGGCACCTGTGTGCACTCCAGGAGACCCACAGACACTGAGGTGATCTAATGGTGCTTCTTTCCCCTAGCCCAAGCCTTGGCAGCAACTCTGCAGCAGGTGACCTTGCCCCTGATCCCCCAGAACAAGTGCATGCAGTACTGGGGCAATCGCATCACCAACACCATGATCTGTGCCGGTGGGGCTGGTGCCACCTCCTGCCAGGTAAGGAGCCAAGCTCCTGCTGCACAGGGTGGGTGGAGGAGGATATGCAGGGTCCTGCTGAGCTCCCATTGCATCACAGGGAGGGTGGAGGAGCAGGGTACGTGGGCTCTTGCATTTCTGGAGCCAGATATTTAAGCTACACCACCTGGCTGTGCAGAGGGGTTCAGGTGGCTGGGGTGGCAGGGACCAGTTTGGAGCATGTGCCAGGAGAACTAAACTTGAATCTTCTCCACAGGGTGACTCTGGTGGACCTCTGGTGTACCAGACTGGGAATGGCTGGACCTTGATTGGCATTGTCTCCTGGGGAACGTCCAACTGCAACATCAACACGCCGGCCATCTACACTCGTGTCAGCCAGTTCCGTAACTGGATCGACACCATCGTTGCTCGGGGGTAAAGCTGCTGCCAGCGTGGTCCCTGCACTGGGACTAATAAAGTATCAGTTTTTCTTGTGCCAAGCACTGTCTCTGGCTCCTTTCTTCTCATGATGCAGAGTGGGGTGGAAAATACATGGAGGAGCCTGGGGCACCCCATGCTCCTCTCCTTCCCAGAGCTGGAGCTTGATGCCCAGCTGGGATCCAGAGGGAATTGATAAACGAGGACAGGATGCTCAGGAATAGGGGGAGCAGGGCTGGCTGTGGCTCAAGGGCTGCTCAGGGGGTCTTCAAGCCTGGCACCAAGCCAGGCAATGCTGAAGGTTGGGACAATGGTCCTCCCACTGACCCAGGTGCGAGGTGCCACCAGAGAAGGGACTGTGGAGCTGCAGCTCAGCACCGGAAAGGACTGCTCAGCTTGCAGTGGAAGGTGGGTGTTGGTGGGTGCACAGGATCCTAAAGAATCCTTGCCTGCAGTCTAAAGCCATGGCTTGTGTAGCAGCTGAGAACACAGCTGAAAGGGACAAGTGCCATGGGCAGCTCCTGAGGAAGGGGACAGCTGGAGAACAGCACACTGCTACACCCCTGCAGACCTGCCAGGTAACAGCAGGAAACTGAAGGCCATTGCAAAGGAAAATCTGAAGCTAAAACAAATTTCAAGGCCAGGTGACAGGCTTTCACTCAAAGGGGTTCTTGAGACAATGGCTGGTGGATAAAAAAAAGAGTCTCAAGACACATGCTCAATGAACTACAATCCAATTCCCAGCAGCTCCAAAGAGAGCTGGTGATAAGGCACTATGGAGAAAAGCAGGATCAGACTGTCCCAACATGAGGTGTGAGGTGTTTTCTTTACCCATGACGTGAAGGTGATACAACACCTTTGCTGTGTGAATCACAGCTCCCAAAATGTAATCACTCTATTAAGCAGAGAGTGTGACACTACACAGGGTCACACTGATGGGAAAGGGTATGGAACATCAATGGAGTGCAAACACAAACAGTCTGGCCCATACAATTGAGTTAAAACAAATACAAATCTACTCAAGTAAAGCCTAGGGCTAACAAATTTTAGTTTTCTTTAGTGGTCTGCTCTGCAGGGAGCATCTAACTGACCTTAAAGGTAAGTGAACAGATGGACCACGCAGGCAGAGAGAACTGGTGGCTACAGGGAACTTCAAACAGAAATAACCAACTGAAGCACTATGGGTCATCTGGTTTGTGTGCTGAGCTCTCCGTCAGCTCTGCCACCACTGGGATAGGGTCTCCTGCCCCCAGAAAATCCTGGAGAGGAGGTGTCTCAAGAGGGGTGTGCATTGTTCACTTGACATTACAAGTTTTCCTGTTGGTCCATAGAAGCTACTCAGACTAAAACTGGAGAGGTGATTGAGTGGCTGTGGACAAACCAGAGCATTCCTCTGGTCCACCTACCATCTTGCAGCCAATGATGTTCCAAAGTGGCTGTTCAGCCTCCCAGCTGCACTTCCAGCAACAGACAGAGTGCCTGCCACATCCAGGTCATCCCACAGACATCCCAGTCCCACACGAGATCTCCCTTGGGCAGCTCCTGGCCTGGCAGCTGCATTAGAGAAACCAGCAAACCCTCTGATGGGCACTTTGGTACCTCTTGCTGTGATCTATGAATGTAAGAGAAGGGTGAGCACCTCCTGGCTCTCCGTGTATTTACTGACCATCGTTCCCAGCCTGGAAATCATCGCCTTCCAGCAGCCAGCCCACGGGTGATCCACCAGGCAGAAGTAAGGACAGCAGAGCCGTGGGGTACACAGAATACATGGACATGTTTTAGCAGAACGAGTACAACAAATAAATAATTCTGTACACTCTAACTTGAACATTACAGACTAATTACAATGGATCCCAGCTCCTCTGACAGGATGGGCCTTAGAGTAAAGCCAGGACTCAAAAGGCAAGGCACAGCATGGGACACTGGATGGGACACAGACCGACTGGATGAGACCGGAGTCGCTTCCAAACCGTTCCAGCCCAGCACCGGAAACCGGACCGAAAATAACACCAAGTGCCGGAAGATCTGCGATCCCGAG